AGATTTTCATTTACCAGACAAAAGTTTAAGTATTTGACCACTTATCCGTACAAGTTTTTGTCCGTCACGAAAGCGTACCAGTTTCAAAATGTATCGACCAGACAAATGTTTGTTCGGTACTATGTAACCGCAAAATTGGAACAAATATTTGTGCGACTACATCTCGGGAAACCTGGAACGTAAACAATGCCCCGAGCAAAGTCTGATCACATCCGAATTCCGCCAAGCAAAGAGCGAATCTATCCAGTACGAAGTATGTCGGAGGTCTATTGTCGTTAGCAGTTCAAATTTTTCGCAAAAAGAATGTATGCTTCGGCAGCTGTGAACAATGATAGCGCACAGGCATACCACAGGAATATGCAGACAAATATTCGTCTGACATTGCAATCAGTATACAGGTTTCTATCGAAATAGAAATTGGTCTGGTGCCATGAAAATAGAGTGGAATGGTTTGAACCATGCAAATGGCCCAAAATAATATTTCTTTTCAATCGTATGCTTCCATAAAGTTTTAATTATTATAGGGAATGCATAATGACTAAAATGTTTACATCATTACAAGGACATAATTTACTCATTTGAGCGAGCAAAATAACCGCTACATTTCATCTGCAACATTGAAAATCATATTTAAAGAGCGCCATGGCGCTCAAATAAGTACGAAATTAGTAAATTACGGTGTCCATACAATACATGCACGAGATAACAAAATGAATAAATAGTACTATAATACAATTTTATCCACGACTTCTTGTGTGCGCCTTGCGGTATTAATCTGTTTGGTTTTTGATATGGAGATATCCAAATAGAGAAGGAATTTTCAAGTATTTTATCTAGCTATTAGCTAAACATAATATGCTAACACCTGAAATTTGTTTACAGACATCATGAATCATCAAATTCCATCATAAATTGCAGTAGGGATTCACTTCTTATTATGTTGTTATCTATTCCACTTCCAATCTGAAGCATTCAAAGGAATGTTTAACTTTACAAACTATGTTGTGGAAACACGTATGAGATGAGATTATAATATTCCAAGTGTGAATATTAGGTGAATATGTGTCATATTCACGGCATATTCACGCTTGGAATACTCTGCAATACTATGCCGTATTCACACTAATATTCCACGTCAGAATACTGTTGCAATATGCGTTTTCTTCTAACCCGTATAGACATGTGAATACCTCGGAATACGTCGCTTTTCATGCAGTGTAATTAAACTCATTGTTAATGTAGAAGTCATCTTTGCGTTAGATGGGAACTTTTATATTATGTACAGACTTATAGTGGCTGACCTATTACTTCCTCCTTTTCATTGTTTTCCAATTTTTCAATTTCATTGTTGTCCAGTTTTCTTAGCAAGTGTCCTAAAGAGAGGCAGTCACCCCCTGAAAACATATTGAAAATTTAATATTCCAGGGGGGTGAATGCCTATCTTTAGGGCACTTGCTAAGAAAATGGCCGCCAGCTATTTCAGTAAAAAGCGCCTTACGGTTTTGTAATGGAAGTTACACTTCTGTATGTCTTTATTCTGTGCCCGGGTGTAAATAGCCGGGGGGGAATTAGTACCCTCGCACGGCGCCGGCTCGGGGATTAGTGTTGAAGCCATGACTTTAGAACACCGTATTTGTAATGAAATCACTCTTTATTTTCACGTTTATTACAAATGTAGTTTTGTACAGTAAGTTACTTTCACGAGGAAGTTCAACCAACAACACAACAATCCCATCATGCATTTGTCTCTCAGTATTACGTCATACTAATATTTGGATAACATACAGTTTCATATTGAACTCAACACCCTCACTTGTTATCAGAATATAAACTAATTACAACAACCGAACACGATACTTTTAAAATTATCTAGTTTACATTTTGTGGGTGGCTTTGTTAGGATATCAGCTACCATATCTTGGGTAGGACAATATACAATATCGATCATGCCTTTAACATACATTTCACGTACAAAGTGGTACTTTATGTCAATATGCTTAGAACGTTGTCTGTTAACTGGGTTCTTACTTAGTGCAATTGCCCCTTGGTTATCAACACTTACCTTCATACTCTGATGTACTTTCTTATACATACCGTTTAACAATTGAGTTAGATACAAACACTCTTGAGCTGTATTTGCTAAAGCTACATATTCAGCTTCGCAAGTGGAAATGGCAACCGTTGGTTGCTTTCTCGACTTCCATGAAATCAGTGGTCCTCCTTCAGTTAGAGTACAACAGTAACCTGTAGTACTTCGCCTGTCTTCCAGGCAAGAGGCCCAATCTGAATCACTATAAGCAGTGAGCTGCAAGTCAGCATCAGATTTCTTAAAGCAGAGTTCATAATCCACGGTACCCTTTAGATACCTTAGGACATGTTTGGCAGCAATTAAATCTCCCGTTCTGGGGTTTGACAGAGTTTGAGATCGTCTGCTTACAATCCAACTTAAATCAGGCCTTGTACAGGTCATGGCATAAATTAGGCTTCCTATCATTTCTCTATACTGTCTGGCGTTGGTCAATTCACCACAGTTAAATTCTAATCGTTGCTCACATGGGGTTAACCTGGGCTTGCAGTCTATCATTCCAAATATCTCTAGTATTTTAAGAATGAATCTTTTCTGATTAATTTTTATTTCACCCTTGCTTTGCTTAAAATCCATTCCAAGGAAGAAAGTGATTCTACCTAGATCTTTCATCTTAAATTGTGTCTTCATACTTTCTTTAAATTCTTCCATTAACTGCATACTATCTGAAGCTATAATTAGGTCATCAACCCAAACAATGACGATAACAATTTTATCATCAACTTGTTTCTTATATACACAGTCATTTGCTAAATGCTCGTGTAACAATATGTTCCAATTTCTACCTGATTGTTTTAGACCATATAGCGATTTCTTTAGCCTATATACTAACCTCTCACCACTCTCTGAAACCTCTTTAAACCCTTCTGGCTGGTCTATGTATAACTCTTGAGTAATGGGGGCATGCAGATATGCAGTTTTAACGTCCATCTGGTGAACAATAAGATCATGTTTTATTGCTAACTGCATTAAGACCCTAATTGAAGTAATACTGGCTGTCGGGGCGAACGTTTCTTGATAATCTATACCCTTTACCTGGCTGTAACCCTTCGCTACATATCTGGCCTTAAAGGACTCTATGCCATTCTGATCTTGTTTGGTTGTGTACACCCATTTTCCCCCTACTGAAGCTTTACCTTCTGGTAAAGTTGATAATTCGTAAGTATCATTTTCCTTCAGAGAGCTGATCTCTTCCTTCATTGCTTGATCCCA